CAGAGCATCACTCGGGAAAGAAAAAAACTGATGCTAAACGCTCACTTCCTGTTTCCGCCTCGGAGGTGCGTCGCCTTTCGCCTTCCCGCCAAAGCCGCTTCTCGGGAGTTCCGGGAGGGGCTGAAGGTGCCTCCTTTTTTGGGGGGTCTCGGAAGCAGGTGAGTGCAGTGCTAGGAGGCGGTGGGGCAGCGCTTGGAGAAGGGAGGAGGCGCTTGGCTTGGGATGCGGGGCAGAGAAGGGGAGCCTCCGCTGGCTGGGGTGGGGAGTCCATGGAAGAGCCAGGCAAATGAATCTCTCCTGGGGATCCTCCGAAAAACGCCTCTCCTCTTTCTTGCCTGTGAAGCCAAGCCCTCCTGATGGATTCTTCTCCTTGATTTAATTTGTTTATTTATTTAATAAATATTTCTACCCTGCCTTTCTCCTTAGAAAGGAACCAAGGTGGTTTACATCATTAAAAGATAATATTTGAAGGTAAAGGCAAAAAGTATGCAAATATATTTTTAAAAGGATAAAATAAATGCTATTCTGAGAAACAGTAAAACAAAAGCAATACTAAAAACACATTTAAAGCAGTAAATGTTTATTTGTTTTACTTGAGTCCAATTCTCTGTCAAATGAAACCTGGGCATTCAGGCTCAGAGATGAGTCCAGAAGAACTCCCAAACTGTTCACTGGTGCTTTCCGAGGGAGTTTACGTACATCCAGCACAGCTGAATCCCTGTTCCTTGATCTGCCTTTCAGCTAGACTAGAGCACTGGTTCTTAACCTTGGGTTACTCAGGAGTTTTGGACTGCAACTCCCAGAAGCCTTCACCACCAACTGTCCTGACTGGGGTTTCTGGGAGTGTCCAGAAGAACTCCCAAACTGTTCACTGGTGCTTTCCGAGGGAGTTTACGTACATCCAGCACAGCTGAATCCCTGTTCCTTGATCTGCCTTTCAGCTAGACTAGAGCACTGGTTCTTAACCTTGGGTTACTCAGGAGTTTTGGACTGCAACTCCCAGAAGCCTTCACCACCAACTGTCCTGACTGGGGTTTCTGGGAGTTGCAGTTCAAAGGTAAAGGTTCCCCTTGACAATTTTTGTCCAGTCGTGTTTGACTCTAGGGTGCAGTCGTCATCCCCATTTCCAAGCCATAGAGCACAAGTCTCAAACTGTGCCATAGAGCCAGCGTTTTGTCCGAAGACAATCTTCCGTGGTCACATGGCCAGTGCGACTTAGACACAGAACGCTGTTACCTTCCCACCGAGGTGGTCCCTATTGATCTACTTGCATTTGCATGCTTTCGAACCGCTAGGTTGGCGGGAGCTGGGACAAGCAACGGGTGCTCACTCCGTCGCGTGGATTCGATCTTACGACTGCTTGGTCTTCTGACCCTGCAGCACAGGCTTCTGCGGTTTAGCCCACAGAGCCACCACGTCCCTGCAGTTCAAAAGCATCCAAGTAACAAAGGTTAAGAACCACTGAGCTAGAGGATGTTGAGGAGGGAGCCCTGGCACCTATATTTGATCTTGAGGCTTTCAACCTAAACCAATCCTTTAACTGGAGCTTTTAAGCATGAGACAACATGTCTTGCTCTTCTTCCAAGTTTTATTCTTTCTCCTATTCCTACAGGGATTAAAAGGCCTATTTATTCTGCTCCTTTGGCTCTTTTGGAGGCAATGAAGATACAAGACCTTGTTGGTGCAGAAGATGGGAGACAGCCAGATGGCGTAGACGTGTGGAGCAAAGAGGAGTTCCCGGAAAGAAATGCCCTGGCAGACCTCCATGGGGACTCTTTCAGCCCAGAAGTTCAGCACCAGCTTTTCCGGGAATTCTGCTATCAGAAGGATGGAGGCCCCCGGGCGGTTTGCCGCCAACTCCACCATCTCTGCTGTCAGTGGCTGAAGCCAGAAAAACACACCAAGGCTGAGATGCTGGACTTGGTGATCCTCGAACAGTTCCTGGCTGTCCTCCTACTAGAGATGGGGATCTGGGTCAGAGAGGGCAAGCCGGAATCCACTTCCCAGGCTGTTTCCCTGGCGGAAGGTTTCCTCCTGAGCCAGGCAGCGGAGAAGAAATGGGCAGAGCAGCTGGTGAGAGTTCTGGTTTTCCTTAAGAGCTGAAAAAGTGCCAAGCCCTTTGCTGAAAATTGCCCCACTGAAGCATGTTCCCCTCCCTTCTTAAAGCTGAGATCTTCTCCTGTACCATTAGACAGGGGCTGGACTCAGTGATCAGTCGGGTTCCTTCCAGCTCTGCAGGTCTAAAATTACAGTGGTGCCCCACTTCACGACGATCCTGTTAGACGATGAATCCGCTGTATGATTAGTTTTTTGCAATTGCAAAACAATGTTTTTATGGGCTTTTTTCATTTTACGACAATTGGTTCCCTGGTTCGGGAACCGATTTTTTACTTAACTACGATCAAAAACAGCTGATCGTTGGGTTTTCAAAATGGCTTCCCGCTGTGCAAAATGGCTCCCTGCTGTGTTCAGGATGGATTCTTCACAAGACAGGTACTGGAAAATGGCTGCACTATGGAGGATCTTCACTGGACGGTGAGGTATTTTGCCCATTAGAACGCATTAACCATTTTTAATGCATTTCAATGATTTTTTTTACTTTCGCTTGATGACGATTTCGCTCTGCAGTGATTTTGCTGGAACGGATTATCGTCATCAAGCAGGGCACCACTGTATAAACAAGGTCTGGAAGCCATGTCCTACGAGGAGCGGCTTAGGGAGTTGGGAATGTTTAGCCTTACAAAAAGAAGGTTGAGAGGGGACATGATAGCCATGTTTAAATATTTGAAAGGATGTCATGTAGAAGAGGGGACAGGTTTGTTTTCCAGGGCTCCAGAGACTAGGAGACGGAGCAATGGTTTCAAACTACAGGAAAAGAGGTTTCATCTGAATATTAGGAAGAACTTCCTGATGGTCAGAGCTGTCCGGCAGTGGAATAGGCTGCCTCGGAGGGTGGTGGAGTCTCCTTCTTTGGAGGTTTTTAAGCAGAGGCTGGATGGCCATCTGTCAGGAGTGCTTTGATGGATGTTCCCACATGGCGAGGGGTTGGACTGGATGGCCTCAGTGGTCTCTTCCAACTCTATGACTCTATAAGCAATAAGAATGATGATTTGATATTTCTTCCTCCATTCTTCTGCTTGAAGTCCAAATTTAATTTTGGTTACAGGAATTTTCAGAATTCTTCTTTGACTTCTCCCAGACACTGGACACTCCCTTAGACCCAAGACAAACACCCCTCCTTTTGAAGGAGGAGAAGGGCGATCGGGACATCTTGCTAGGTAAGCAGCTTGTCAGCATATTTCTACTTGGTTCCCTTTCTTATGCCTTTCCAGATTCATGAATTGCACTTTAGCTCCTCTACGTTCATATAGATGCTTAAGAGTGGTCGACCAGACCAGATGGGCGGGATGTAACTCAAACAAACAAACAAACAAACAAATAAAGGTTTTGTCAGTCAAAATGGAGAGCCTTTTTCCTCATTAAGGTAAGGCAGTGGTTCTGAAACTTTTTTAACAGTACAGTAGGACTGCTGTATCCTCAGGACCAGTACCTGCGATTTTACTTATCCACTGCTTGACAAAAATAAAATAATAAAATAAAGCATGAATAAATCTTCCTAAGGTGTATTACCAGGAGTGGCCAGTAGATGGAACCCTAGAGACCATGCTATGATACAGGTGGCTTAATGGAAACTCACTTGTGGCCTGACTGGTCTAATGGAAGCAGCTTCCAGGTAAAATGGAGAAGCCACATTTTTTGGAGGGTGGGGGGAAACAGCTCTTGGGAACAAGAGGACAGGAAACCCAGTTCTTTGGGAAGACGGAGCCAAGATTCCCTCTCGCCACTATGCATGGACACCAGAAAAATTGCAAATGCATTGGTGCCTCACATAGCGATCGCTCCGTTTTACGACAAAATCGTTTTGCGACGAACTTTTTGCGATCACAAAAGCAATCGCTTTGCGATGTTCCCTATGGGGCAATTTTGCTTTCTCTGCTTCGGGCACCGATCATTGCAAAGCGATGATTTTCTAACAGCTGATCGGCGGTTTCAAAATGGCCGCCCACTGTTTTCTGGGGCAGATTCCTCGCTTAAGAGGCACCGAAAATGGTGGCACTATGGAGGATCTTCGCTGAACTGTGAGTTTTAAGCCCCTAGGAATGCATTAATCGCGTTTTAATGCGTTACTATGGGCTTTTTATTTTCGCATTGTGACGTTTCATTCAGCAGCGATTTCGCTGGAACGAATTAACGTCGCAATGCGAGGCACCACTATACAGTGGTACCTCGACTTACAAACTTAATCTGTATTGGAATGGCATTCGTATGTCGAAAAGTTCGTATGTCGAGGCAAGCTTTTCCATGGGAATGCATTGAAAACCATTTAATCTGTATCTGCTGTTTTTCGTTCGTATGTCGAGGTGCTGTTCGTAGGTAGAGACATTAGTTCCCATAGGAATTAATGCAAAGCCGGTTAATCCATCCTCTGCCACTACGGGGCGATTTCTTTTCTTATTCTTTTGACCTAAGGTGAACGTAGGTCAAAAACAGAGCAGGAAAGGTTTTTTCTTTTTGGTTCGTAAGTCGAGGCTCCGTTTGCCGGTCGAAGCCACGCCAGCTGTGCTTCCAGCTCAACAAGGGACCTGTTGGAAGCCAAGTCAAGCTGGAGAAGATGCTGTGAAGACCGTCCCCTCCCTCCAAGCCGTGACTGACACAGAAAAAGCCCAATCGGGTTCCTGCAAGTCAATACGGCTGTTTTGTTGCACACTTCGGTTGTGTTACTTTGGAGTTGGCTCAGCCGTTCACTGTGTGTCATTCAGTCAAGAGGGGCGGATCATCCTGACAGATACAAGAACGGGTCAGCACCTAACTGGATATGATGCGATTATCTCATTTAGCACATTGTTTTGGATGTGGTTTTCTGAATAAAAAGCAGTCATACCGGACATATGTGTGTGTATATGTGGCAAGATGAGGGGAAGTAGGGATCTTGCAGATGAAGCCTCTCCTTGACCAGCAAGGAGAGAGAAATGAAGAGGCTAGCACTCGAGTATGTGTTTCAGGGCGGGATCCGGGTGAACAAGGACAGCCTGCCGTCAGGCATCTGTCCAGAGGAATCTCCTGTTTCCCCGCCTCCTCTTCTTTTATTGTTTTCTCCTACCATAGCACTAGTTAATCAATACAGAGGTAACTAACTTCTTGAATACACAACAGAATAACCAGAGTGCTGGTAAACAGACAGGTAATTTCCTTGAATACACAGGCATCAGTAAACAGAGTGGTTGGTAAACAGACAGGCTGGTAAACAGACAGCTAATAGTAAACAGACACAGATAACTCCAAATACACAGACAATGTAAACATTCCTGAGGTAGACACTTTAACTACATTACCCAGAGACAATAGACAGCAGGTTAATGATTATCCTTACTGGAAGTTAACCTTGCAGTTTTAGCATGATGTCTGCTACTAGCATACAGATATATACATTTATAATACACATTTGCTACTGCCATAGATATATACGTTTTAAAGGCATACAATTTTCCCACACCCTCCTCCCCATCATACACTTCTCTGGGTCTAAAAGAATCTCCCCCTTTCTGTTGACTTCTGTCAAACTTTCTCACTAGGAAACCTGAGACTAAGTAAAGGGTTGGATCCTGCACTGTGACCCTCACCTGTCTTATTGATGCTATTCTCCTCCTGTTTCCTTTTTGTTGTTCAGGGTCTCGTCACTTTTGAGGACATTGCTGTCTCTTTCACAGAGGGTGAATGGGCTCTGCTGGATCGAGGCCAAAGGGCTCTGCACCGGGAAGTCATGGAGGAGAATTTGGCCCACCTGGCGTCTCTGGGCAAGTTTTCGTTTCCATTTCATTATAGCCATTTTCAAAGAAATAACCAAGTTAGGCTCTTTCAAGAATTAAGAAGCTGGTACGATAACAAGATGGGCACGTGGTGGCGGTGCAGGTTAAACCGCAGAAGCTTCTGTACTGCAAGGTCAGAAGAGCAGCAATCGTAAGATTGAATTCACGCAACAGAGTGAGTTCCCGTCGTTTGTCCCAGCTCCTGCCAACCTAGCAGTTTGAATGCATGTAAAAATGCGACTAGTTAAATAGGTACCACCTCAATGGGAAGGTCACGGCATTCCGTGTCTAGTCACGCAGGCCGCGTGACCACGGAAACAGTCTTCAGACAAACACCGGCTCTACGGCTTAGAAATGGGGATGAGCACTTAAGTTTTAGTTTTATATGAATCCAAAATACAAAAACAAAGTACAATGAAAAATCAGAAAGAACATTTAAGTTCTATTCTTCAAAAATATAGGAGCTTATGACTTATAAAGGCAGAAAATCCATCTCTAAAATGCTTCATTTAAAAATTATTATAATTTTAAAGGCTTTAAAAGCCTTCTTGTAAAAGCATAGAAAAATATCAAAGTTCTTAAAATAAGAATATATAAAATAAAAAGCATTATTTCGCTCTAGGCACATTAAGACACACATAACATTTGTATTTTCACCCAATTATAGTCAGGTTACAGTTAAAACTTATACAGTATATCCATTGTTGATGTTCTGGTGCCTCATAACTTTTTATGATATGCACCGTTTTGTTTTGTTTTTGTTTGTCGGTGTGATTTTGCCTATCACTGCCCTTATAGCAGAAATCTGGCTGTTTATATGTCCTCTAATATTTGCCTGGCGTGCTCTGGCCCATGGGGTCACAAAGAGTCGGACACAACGACTAAACAACAAAAATCTTTGTTTGCTTTAGTCGCTAAGGAGCAGCCATCCTTGCTAGTCAGTGAGATTGTTTACTTACTGTATTTTTCCATTTATAACATGTCCCCACTTATAAGACACACCCACACGCTTTTCTAACCCCAAAGTTAAGAAAACTGAGCTTTGAGGATTCACCCTCTGGGCTCAGAACGCTCAGACATTAGGAGTTCCTGTTGAATTTGAGCGTATAGGCTCCGCCTCCAAGGTGTGTTCCAATTGGTTTGTTCAGCATCAGCTGATGTAAGGCTTGTGATTGGAGGAAACTGAGCCTCCTGACTGAAGGAAGCCTGTTTACGAAGGCAACACATGTGCCGTTTTCTCTCCTCAGCTGTCTCAGCTTACTTCTGTGTAAAAGACGCTCCTCAATTTTTAGTGTAATGATTTTAGGAAAAAGTAGTGTCTCTTATACACAGAAAAATAAGTATAGAAAACAAAAAGCATTATTTAGCTCTAGGCATATTAAGACACACATAAAATCAATACACACTGTTTTCACACAGTTTTAGTCAGGTCCAAGCCCGTATAACCATTGTTGATATTCCGGTGTCTCATATCTTTTTATGATGGTTGTCCTGATGTGTGGGGGTTTTTTTTGGTCATTTTGCCTCTCACTGCACTTCTTATAGCAGTGCAAGAAATCACTGATTGTTTATATGTTCTCTAATCTTTGTTTGTATTAGTTGCTAAGGAGCAGCCACTCTTACTAGTCAGTGGGGTTGTTTACTTAAATTGCTGGCCAGCAATGGCTGTCGCTGATCAGCAAGATATTATCTATACTTGACTACTAAATAGCAAGAAGTTTTTTTATACTGTTGCTTATAAGCAGAAAGAAAAACAACACTGCAGCACTAATTATTCATACGATGGTCGTTTTATGTTCCTTTATTATTGTATTAAGTGATAAAGTCATTGTGCATTTATGTGACTGAATAAAGCCATTGTGCATTTGTGTGATTATTCTTACATAAGTCATTCCTGATACATTTGGGTCATTTCCCCACATTTTTATTTATTTCACCTTACCCCCTTTAATGTTTACAATAAAATTAGCACATCTGACTCAACTGTTTAACTGAGCAATGCGTCTGAAGATGTGGTGTACAGCAACAAAAGTTCTCAACTGAAATTTTAATGTTAAAGTTGTTATGATAAAGACCAATTGACAAAAACAATTCATGGGTTACACAATAAATTGTGTATATGTGTGTGAGCCAGTAGTCAGAGGGAAGAAACTGAAACCACAGAGAAGGGGAAGAGAGCTTTCCTTTCTCCACATGAACATTTTCATGTAGCGCCACTTGGAGAAGAAATGCATCAAAGCCACGAGAGTCATCAGTGCTTGGCGTGTGAGAAAGGCTTCAGCTTTCAAGGCAGCCTAAATGCTCACTGGAGAACCTACGTAGGGGGAAAATTGTTGGACTGCTCAGAATACCACAATAATTGTTTAAAGAAGTCATCTCCTGAAAAAAATCTAAGACCTCTGGGAGGAGAAACCCCCTTTGGGTGTTTAGATCGTGGAAAGAGCTTTAGCCAGAGTGCACACCTTGCTTCTCATGAGAGAAGTGGGAAGAGGTTCAGTTACAATTCATGCCCCCTTGAACTCAAGACAGTCCCCACAGGGCAGAAACCATTTAAATGCTTGCAATGCAGAATAAGCTTCAGTGAGAGCAGAACCCTTGCTACCCATGTGAGAATCCATACAGGGGAAAACCCATTTTCCTGCTTGGAATGCGGAAAGCGCTTCCGGCAGAACTCGCACCTTGCTCGCCATGTGAGAATCCACACAGGAGAGAAACCCTTCAAATGCCTGGAATGTGGGAAGAGCTTCAGTGAAAAGGCAAACCTTGCTTCCCACATGAAAGTCCACACGGGGGAGAAACCATTTTCTTGCTCAGAATGTGGAAAGAGCTTTACGCATAAGGGAAACCTGGCTTCGCATATGAAAATCCACACGGGGGAGAAGCCATTCAAATGCCTGGAATGCGGACAGAGCTTCAGACAAAGCACAAAGCTTGTTTGCCACATGAGAAGCCACAGAGGAGAGAGACCGTTCAAATGCTGTCAGTGTAGGAAGAGCTTCTGTGAAAGAAGCAAACTTCAGTGCCATCAAAGAATCCACACTGGAGAGAAACCTTTTAAATGTCTGGAATGCAGCAAAAGCTTCAGTCAGAGCGCAAGCCTAGCTTCCCACATGAAAATGCACACAGGAGAGAAACCCTTTAAATGCCTGGAGTGTGGAAAGAACTTCAGTCAGAGCTCCCACCTCTTTCGCCACATGAGACACCACAGAGGGGAGAAACCCTTTAAATGCTCACAGTGTGGGAAGAGCTTCTGTGAAAGAAGCAAGCTTCAATGCCATCAAAGAATCCACACTGGGGAGAAACCCTTTCAATGCTTGGTATGTGGGAAGGGGCTCAGTCAGAAGGCAAACCTTGTTTCCCATATGAAAATCCACACTGGGGAGAAACCCTTTAAATGCTTGGTATGCGGAAAGAGCTTCAGGCACAGCACAAACCTTGTCCGCCATGTGAGAAGCCACCGAGCCGAGAAACAATATAAATGTTCACAGTGTGGGGAGAGCTTCTGTGAAAGAGGCAAGCTACATTCCCATCAACAAATCCACAAAGACTAGAAACCATCTGAAAGCTTGAAATGTGGAGGGTACTTCAGCCTCTGTGAAAAAAAAAAGATGTTGTGGAATGTGAGGTACTAAACAAATATGTCTGCATACATTTGGAAATGATATCATACTTCCTGCTGCCTCTCTCTTCCTCTCCTTACAATCTCGTTATAATATTTTTCCCTAAAACGTGTTGTGTCAAGCTTTAAATTTTTTAAATACTTCAATAAACTTGCTTTTTAAAAAAAACCCAGCATTTGTGCCAGCACAAAAGGGACTCGAAATTTGAACCATTATTACATTATCATTGGCATAGAAATTACACGAGTTGCCTTAACTCAGTTCAGGCAAGATCTCTCTATCTCTCTCTCTATCTATATATCAACAAGGATCAGGGAACTTTTTAACCATTTACTCTTGAAAAAATTTATATATGCCAACATTACGATCAGGGTACTTTTTAACCATTTACCCTTGAAAAAATTTATATATGCCAACATTACCTCCTTGATTTAAAAGGAAGGATCTTAGTCACACACGGCCAGCCGAGTGCCGCCGCCGAAGTCTCGCTGCCTGTACCTGCTCCTGGCAGGGCTGTGCTCAGTCCCGGGCGAGCGCCGCTCCTGCCCAACAGGCTCCTCCAAGAATGGGGACAGGGCATGGGGTGGCAGTGGCATCCTGGTGCCGGAAGGCTGAGCCTGGCCCGGGCCGCCGCCGTGGCCACGCCCTCCCCCTTCCACCATGATTCACCTCTCCAGGTACTGGAAGGAAAGGGTACTCCTGGCCAGGGCACTCTGGCTACTCACCCAGGCCTCGCCCCTCTGCCATGGCCGCCCCCTCGGCTGCCCTATGCCGCCATCCGGGGAACATTGCCATCCGCCATCTGCTGTGGCTAGGTTGCAGCCTGGTCAGAGAAGGGGGTAGGAAGGGGGCGTTTGGGCAGCAGGGGACCCCCCCCTCTGGGCAGAAGAGGAGGAGGAGAGAAGGGGGTTAGGGTTGTGTCCTCATTACCCCTGCAGACGGCAGACGTCTCTGTGCTGTAGTTCCAGAAGACCAGCAGTCGTAAGATCGAATCCACGCAACAGAGTGAGGTCCTGTCGCTTGTCCCAGCTCCTGCTGACCTAGCAGTTCAAAAGCATATAAATGCGAGTAGATAAAAAGGTACCACCTCAGTGGGAAGGTAACGGCGTTCTGTGACTAGTCGCACTGGCCACGTGAACACGTTTTTCTTTGGACAAACGCTGGCTCTACGGCTTGGAAACGGGAATGAGCACTGCCCCC